AACACAACACAATGACCTGTGCCTGACCCTGACGTCATGTTTCTTGCACGCCTCTGTACCAGAATCGTGACATCTAATTTAATTAAAAATAATTCAATTCTACTAACAAGGGAAGGGACTAGTCAGTCCAGATTCACTTGTTGATTCTAGTGGCCGTGCCATTTGATTAACAACTATGCTGCTATGTGGCTACGCGGGTGTGAATTACCATGATTACAATGTGATGAATTACAAGGTTAGAGGATGCCATGATGACCCACAGCCACTGTTTCCAAAGAACAGCGGATGGACAGCTTGCGAGCCTGGTTTGGCACATGCAAGAGTCGCGACAGGAGCTAGTTGTGTTCTAATCCCCCAGGCCACTTTCGTTGAACACATCCGAGCAAATTCATCCTGAGCACTCATACATGGATCCCGAACACCACATACATCCTGAGCACCACATTTTGTTGACCCGGAGATCCATCCATTCAGCACATCGGAGGATTCCACATACATCAGCGCAAGAGAATCCTGAGATTCCATCCATACGAATCCTTCCATCCACGATGATGACTCCGTCATCACCGGACTCAGGGACTCACGGCACTCACCGGTGTTTTTGGCTTCTTCCAGCCTCGCCCCCGAAGAGCACCCACGCCGATCTACGGCGATCCTTCCTGCTTGGGGGCCGAGATCACGCGGTCGGATGGTCGGTGGAAGAGCACGTCTTTCATGAAAGAATAACCATGTGTGTGAGTGTCCCAAATGATGCAAGATGTGAAGTGCATGTTTGCTCCACCAGCAGTATGTACTGTCCTTCAGGGCGTCCTGGACGTTTCTTGGGTTTCGGATGAAGGTATCTCTCAGAGTTTAGGACTTCAAATCAAATTGAGTGCAAAAATCAACCATATTACCAGGTATGCTGAGTGCAAGAAAACATATTTTTCAACCATATTACCATGCTTAGCCTTGACTTCCTCACCTTCCAGAGGACGTCCAACGTGCTGCGGTCAATCCTCAGAGGGCGGTCTGATCTAATGGGAAGAGCCAAAGAATGGTCTAAAATGAGGTACCTGTACATGCCCATCTATTATATGCTGCATATTATAAGATGCTTGGTTTTGTTGTCCCTCATCGCTGCAGTTCTGTTAATGTGTTGTGCTGTGTACACTCTGTACATTACCGTCATTCCATTCCACCGAACTGGCCAGTTGGTCAGTCTTCCTTTGCCGAAAAACTTTGCATGATCACGATGACTGAGGTTGACACCATGTCCGTACTCCCTTTGTGTCTGAGGTCGACACCATGTCCGCCATCATCAAGTCCTTTGCCATGCTGGGGAGCCTGGTTTCAGGGTCAGCCGTGTGAGACATTGGAGCTGAGTGAACACTGGACTTAGGATAACACATGGGTCTGAATGACCTCAAATGTGAACTTAAAGAACATTGAGGAAGCATCGTTCTTGCAGAAGGCAGGGAGAACCATCCAGGTGTCCTTGGCGAGACTGCCAGATTGGTCTAGCCACCCCATGGATGGTCAACATGTAAATGTAAGAAGAGTGAATGACCATCTATACGTATATGTGTTTGTTCTCGTTCAATGGGTTTGGACTGGCACAAAGGAGGTTGCTTTGGGAAGCTTCCAAAGAAGTAGCCCCTTCAACTCTGACTGCACGAAGGGTTAAACCCCCTCTTGCCTCGTCACCGCTCCAAACAGTCTGTCATGAATTCAGCCAGTCAACCGAACTGATTCGGACAAGCATCGGAGACATGCTGTGGTTCAGATACACGGTATGTAGCAGCCCACAGAATGTTTTTTGTTGTTGTTTTCGTTCACCTGCAAGCCTTGCTTGCAAAAAAGCAGACCGATGAAACATGTATTTGCAGTAACATGTCTAGGCTTTTTTCTGCCCCAAGTTCTATGGGGAAAATAGGAGAAGCGTGACAAATCCATACTACACTTCGTCATCCTTGCTTCGGTTGCCTTCACCTCCCAGTAGCGCACGCTGTCCCGCACGCTGTCCTGCGCGCTCTCCGAGGTTCGTCCACCTGCCAATCCTCGGAGACTTGCGCCACCACCACCAGATCACCACCGGGACGGGCGCTTCGACTTTCGACATGCTCGCTCCGTTCGATCGAAGACCGGGAGACGAGGGAGAGACCGTCCGTTTTCAGCAGGTTTGTAGAGGGCTGGAAAGTGCGATGGCAGGTATTGTTCAGGTGTCAAAGTCAGTCATTTGAGAAACTGACAGAAGCCGTGTTTTTTGAAGCACTTTGCACCGGCACCGACCTGTACTTTCTCTAATTACCATGCAGTGATCTTCTATCCACTTGCACTATATAGTACTTAGGTTTCTGTATGGGTTTTCTAGAACTGACTTGTATCGACACAAACCCAACTTCGGGACATCACTCAGGCGAACTGGTGTTGGGCTCAGGAAAAATTGCTTGCAGGGAACTGGGAAAAAACCGAAGCATCAAGTATTTGAGTTCCATTAATTAATCATCACCATCCAAAGTGCATCCGAAATAACACCATGAGTCTTTTCCTTGCGGTGGAGGTCATTCGATGTTCCTCCTCAAGTGCATGGAGTCATCTCCAAGAGCTCAACGACCCAGGGTCATTTAATTGTTGGGAATCACTACAAAAAGCGCTTTGCCTCAGACATCAATTTCATCAGACCAGTCGGATTGTTGCAGAAAGTGCCCATCTTGATGCAACAGGGTATCAAGTCAAATGCCTCAGGACTGTTGCTGTCATCCAACCCCCTAGCTTCAGATTGATGCTCTTGGTGCGACAGGACTACTACCACTACTACTACTGGTGGTGGCTGCCTGAGCTCCCATGTTCCACGGACTTTGAGTGTCGAAACAACATAACGGAACAACTTAGATGTTATATATATAATCCCTTTTGACAACCAAGAAGCGCATGCAGCTGCTAAATGATGTCTATCGGGTTGTACACGGGTTCAAAAGGGGAAATACATCCTTTTGGAAGACAGAGAAAAATCTGATCTATATTAATATAAAATTGATATAACATGGATAATATGGTATTGCTAATCATTGCTCTATTTTATTGGTTAAATAGACCCTAAACCCAGAATGACGATGTTTCTTGGAAGCAAGTCCAAGACCCTCAAGTCCAAGACTCGCGGCTGACAAGTCATAGACAACGACTACGACCGCAGATGGGAGAACGACTACATTACAGATAGCAGCTTTGAAGCAGGTGTTGGATGAATTCCAGAAAGTCCCCTTAACCATCCTTAACCAGATCTTTGTTATAGACATATAGACACTTATTGTTTGCAGAGTTCTATAATTATAGTCAAGGAGGACCGTGGGAGGTCAGGTGTCCACGTGGAGGTACGTAACAGTTCCCCACAAAACACCTTTGCATCTGGTTTTTGCAGAAAAGAAGGAGCATACAGTTGCAGGGCGGTGCGTCAGACGCGTCCCTTGTATTTCTCCCAACAGTGACACCTAGCTGTTCGGATGTGTTGTGGGCTTTACGTCTGTTCTAGAAGCATTAAGACGTTTGCAGTGGGCGAGAGCATGGATCCCGGCCAGAGGACACATTATAATATTGTGGTGATTTGAGTTCCTTTGTAATCTTCATTGGACTTGTTCAATGCATTGAATTGGATGAGATACCTTCTCAAGTTTCTTGCATTATGTTGCATTCATGTCTTACACATTTGTGGATTCTGAGCTTGAAGGTTCAATCGGCCCAGCAAGCTCTGCGTTCCAGCTTTTCCATGAGGTACTACCACCACTACCACTACTACCTGGACTACCGCGTTCCTGTCATGTCTTGGGAACATGCTGAACACCCATCGCAACATCTTCCAGATTGTGTGCGTCGGCAAGCATGTCAGGCCTAGATGCACTGGCAGTTGGAGGCGAAATGCGGGGGTTTTGTTGTGTTTTGAACGAACCACGACAGGAATATTTAGGGAGACCCCTTTTCTTCATGCGCTTCGTTGGCACTGGCCTCAACACGTGGACTTTAGTTTGTTCACCACGCTGTCTGCATGCTATTCACTCCCCGTTCCAGGTAGTAACGTGCAACAGTCCACACCCGTGCTGAACATGTAACAGTGCGAAGTCACTTGCCTCACCCAAACTGAAGCCCGCGCTTTGGCCGTTATGTCGCAGGCGGTAGCATGATTCTATTCTATTCAAAAAATTGATCATGTCCTCCACCACATTGTGAGCAGATTTGGGGTCTTTCTATTAGGGGTAGGTTCACCCGTGGTGGGTTAAATGGCAGAACTTGGTGCATATCGAACGTCTGACCGTGCCGCGAAAACCATGCGATCACAAGGGCGTTTCCGGGGCGAGGTGGTCTCCGCGTCATGGTGCATCATCGGGCATGTTGAGTCCATGGGGAGGTTTTGGAAGGATGTTCATGGAGTTTCATGGAGTCCATGGGCAGGCCTGCTTGAAGACATGGCATCCAATTCTCACATCAAGATGAGTCAAGATACAGCAAGTGTTTCATCACTGGAGCGTGCCTTCAGTCATGCCATCAGGAGCTGACGCACGACCCAACCACCTTCGAGGCTGTGGGTGAGAGTTGAAGAAGACATGTTGATTCTGATGATCTTTGACGCTTCTGGCGGGGTCTGGTCAAGGGATCCTTTGCAACTCGGTGAGTGATGCGGACGTCATGCTCGGTTGAGCTAACAATACGGTTGGACCTCGCAACCCAGCAGCTGTATTGAGGCAGCTAAACTGTACACATACATATACAGATACATGCACATATATACATATGTGCATAGGCTGTGAATATATTCATCATCTTATTGTCTTATAGCTAAACATCTATGTGACAACCCATCTTCTCTGAAACTTTTGCCATCCCTAGTTACTTGTTCCTGCACCAACTTATAGTCCCCTGCGCAGGTTGGTACGTCCCAGATACCATCCCACTGGGACCTTCTTTCTCCGACGAGCGGAGCCGGAACCGGTCGTGATCGTGTCGACCGGTGGGGCAGGTCTCCAATCATGTCGAGGCAGCCGGGGAGATGTCGATGTTCAAGCGAGATTCGACCACAGAACGAGTCAGAAAGTTGCTGTCTGGGGCCGGGGCGTTGCCTAGGGTCGGCCTCAACATGCCTCAACTGAAATCCTCAAGTCAGGTCCCTCGGCAACATGTCACATGTCGTTTTAATATGTTTAAATCCATTCTTTTTCAGATGACTCAGTCAGATGACTTCATTTGTTTCGGTGTGAAATGAGGTGATGAAATCAGTGGAATGAAGTTGGCTCATGAGAGGGTCTGGACCTGTCAGGCCTTCGACTGGTTTTCTTCGTCGGGCCAGCTCAGTTGGTGTCGACTGCTGCGCCATGTCACCGATGAGTGGACGGTGGAAGCCAGGTTGGTGTGCAGTAGGAGCCCCACAGCCGGAGCCTTCCATGTAAGCATCTGACTTCCATCCATCGGATAACTTCCACGTAACCCAAGCATATCAGCTTGAGTAGTGGAACCAGTTTGATGTGAGGTATGAGGAGCCCCGTGATTTCTGGCCATCCATCGTCGGACCGTCGTCCTTGGAGTCGTTTGATATGCGTACTATCATCATCGACCAAATTGTGTGCTAGACACGTTGGCCCACGGTTATGTCACGGTCGGGTCATTCCATTTGATCATGAAGTGGACATTTATTTGTTGACAGTTACAATGTCACACCATGTTCCAAGTGTGCCGTTGTTCATGTTTGGAACCTATTTTTGGCTTCAAAGTATGTGTCCGCTAGCGTTTCACATGGCAGAACCGTCACAACTCCCCAAAGTTCGGTGGTTTATATATGTTCTAATACATTAACCCCATGCCCATTCTTTTGGTATAATTATATATATATTACTTTCTGTACTTAACCCCTAATCTGTTCAAGACCTCCTTGGGGGTTCTGCCATCGAACCGAAGAACCGTCACGGCGCACCATCACTCCCCACCATCACTCCTCACTCCAGGTGCGTCGCAGGCGTGGGGGCGACGGTGTCAAGATGTGGCTTGGAGAAAACCAAGGGCACCTGACACCACCATGGCACACGCATGGTCAGTGGGTGTCTAGAAACCAGACACCACATGATACCACCCAGTTTCTGGGTGCTTGATGAATCGGATTCTTGTGAATCTGTTCAGTCTTTGCAACGGCACGTGGATCTCTCCAACGAAGCATGCCGACACTTGCCAGGGCCTTCGTGAACGAAAGGCGAAGCCGGACTGTTTCTTTCGGGAAGCTTGGGCAGGTCGGTGGTCGGAACCATATTGAGAATCAGGTGGTGAACTGAAGTAGTCATGAGTCTTTGATATACCAATAGCTCCGTTCATAACAATACTATGTTCATGATATACAACTACTATCAACCAAGTAGTTGTTGATAGTCTTTGATCTACTGTAATTACCACGTGTTTTTACACCTTATTCTCTTTCGATCCGAAGCACCTTTGACTCGGTCGGCTACTGGCAGTGGAAGGAGAGTGAGGAGTTCATGACCCGTGCAGCATTGGGATTTGCACGGACTTATGGGGCGGCGATTAGTGATGAGATCAAATTTGCAAATACATGCAAACACTCCATATATCTCCATATTGTTTATATTTGTTTATACATGGAACAGGAGCCCGGAAGACTCCTTGTTGTGCAGGAAAGACTGAACAATCCTTTTTCATCGCCTTTCCGATGGATTTGATGAGGCATATTGTTCAACTGGTTTCTGGGAGACAAATTCCAGGGATTTGGGTTGTTTCAAGAAACAAGGACCCTCAAACTTGGGGATCAAACTATAATCCTCTCCATGCAACTTCCCTTCTACGGTGATGCCACGGGTTCGGCACGGGTGACCCTCCAGGGCCATGGCCATGAGGCGAGCTGAAGACAGATGGAAAAGACAGACAGGGGATGAGAATCTGAGTGATCTACTAGGTGGTATGAGAGTGCTACTTCGACCCAGCATGTTCAGTTCTCTCTATTTTGGGCCTCTATGGGTTTGGGAGTTGTAGTAGCTCATTGCTTCTGACCAGCACCTTTAATGCCAAGTGTGCCGCCCCAATAGCATGTTGCTCGAGAGCAGAGTCAGAGGGGACACGTGTGGCCGGGAGTTTCACGGTTTTGGATCCCACGGTTTGGCTCGCTGGGATCCACGTGGAGGGGAGCTGCTTCGGACGAAGTGTGGGGAGAGCGCATGTGGGAGAAGAAAACCGAAGAGCCATGGACTTTGAGGTATAGCCGTACCTTGAAGCCGTACTACCAAGTAAAGTTCATCAGGTGACTGTCATCTACAATCATCCATATATTTATATACGGTATCTCGTTTTGCGCCATCCCAATGTACTGGTTGCTGTCTTTTTCTCTTTGGTATTCGTTAAATATCCGAGGTGTGACCCTTGGGTCTTCCGGTGGCTCTTCGGGCCGGCCCGTTCGCCTCGGCCGTTCAGGCACGGCTCTTCGCGCTGCTGAAGTGCTTGCCCAGCGCCAAGCGACAAGCGATGCGGGGAGACTCACTGGGCAATCGGCATTGGGGAGAGTGAGTGAGCTCGGTCGCCATGAGATGCCTAACAGGGCAACCAAACCATGCCGATGCTCAAAGGTATAATAAGTTATAAGTACATTGGGTTCATAAGATTGTAGAGGTGGCTACAAGATACAAGAACAACATTCAGCGTCATCATTATGGACTGTTGAGGACCTTGATGGAGATGGAAGGCTCATTTCATCACCAAGCGAAGCAGCCCAAGCCGACACAGCCCCAGGGTTCAGAAGGGACGCTTCGCCAAGATACGAGGCCCGAAGTGTCGCAACTTCACCGATGCCAGGACTACCAGGATCTCATCCCCCCAGCAAAGATAGCAGTCGAACATTTGCGCCGAACGTATCGGACCTTCCTGGACTTGAAAAGGCAGCAGGGTCAGCGAGGGGTGCTTCGGAGCTGATGCCAGTTGGAAGTTGAAAGGTTTCTCGCTGAATTGAGCCACCCAACCATTGAGGAGGGTAATTCAATCGACTCAGTGTTCTGTCCTTGGTTCAACTGGACAACCCCCGAAACAAAACAGGAGCACTTCTCTGCACACGTTGAAAAAGTTGGATATGTACCATGCACAGGGATAAACCCCGTTGTCGAACCGTTGATTTTCCCCATGTTTCTCCTGCATTCCGGGGCTTGGCGACCCTCGCAACTTCAATCAGGCTCGCGGAGCGCTTCTCTCAGAGCCAACGGCTGGCATTAGAGAGGTGAAATGGGAGATGATGGGAGCCTCGGGTGGCGCCATGTGCACACTAGGAGCATTCCTGCAGCAAAATTACCCAAGCACCGGTTTTCCATCCCATGGTTTTTCTCAGCAGGATGTCTTTCTCCACCTTGGTTTGGGGGTGGTGCGGTTTTGGACGGCATCATCTCCATGACGATCCAAAAATCCTTGAAACCTGTGAACATCCGAATTCGATCATGTCTCCGTCGGCAGCAAGCGGCGAGCCGTTTGGGTCTCATGCCTTGATCTAGTGCAAGGCAGTGGGGTTTGGGTCTTAGCCTGACGTGAGATCAAAGATGCCCTTCCGGTGGGAAAAGGGATCCAGTGGCCCGTGGAATGAAAGCATCGTGCGTATACTAACGGGCCATTTAAATGCCGCACGTTAACACACGGGAGTTGCACCATGGACCGTCTTAATGGTTGGGACACTGCCCGGAAGAATTAGGACATTAGGAATTAGGACTCTGCTGATTCTTGATCTTGTGAGTTGCAGAGATCTTCGTGCAGGAGGTGCATGTTGGGGGACAGGACTAAAATAAAACATCAGCTGCCGCTGGCTACTAGAGCTGCTAGCTTCCTCAGCTTGTAGCATATGTTGGCAGCGAGGACCCTTCGTTGTGAAGGATGTTGCTCTCCGCCAGGTGGATGATGGCCGAAAAGGCCTGGGTCATCCCTTCCTTCAGATCAGTCAACCCGCCCGAGGGTGTTCTTTTTAAAAAGCATTTCTCCAGAGGAAAGTACGTCGAAACACAAGATGATGATTCCTATATATATGGCTTTGATGTGAATCGGTTTTAGTCTAACCTTTCGGCTGTTGGGGAACTTACTGCAGGACCACTTCAAGCCAGAACTTCTTTAGCCCGCATGCTGTTCAGAAGAATCGGAGGTTTCAATCTGGCCAAACTTCCTGCTTTGTTGGGGGCATGTCCTTGACCTTGCGCGTGCAAAGGTGGGGTCGTCCAATGGATGATGTGGAAGACTGTGAAAAAGCTTAAGGAGAAGCCTATATTGACCTATATTGACCCAACGTAACATGATGCCGTGATCCGGGAAAAATGTGTCAAGTGTCTAATCATTGCATCCATGGACGATGGTTACTTGTATTACTAATATTGTGATATGTTTTGTTAGTGGTCTAGTATATTTTGGAGACCAAATGAGACCAATAGATTCAATTATCTATGTTGAACATATACTTCCAACTTCCAACCATTCCTGGTGTGACTCAACACCCATAATTACTCACCAAGCTGTATAGGTTCAACTTCCTCGTTCACACACGTCCACGATGGTGCTTTGGAAACCTTGGAATGGGTGTTGCCAGATTCAGACTTGGATTTTTGAGAATTCATTCGGAGAACATCCACTTTTGGTGGAAAGGGGCCCACGAAAGCCTACCGGGTCGAACACTGAAAAGAAAGCCATTGCCCGATCGCATCGGACGCCCGATGAATCCGCCTGCCCCAACGCCCGTAATCATTGCCCGATCTGTATTCAGTGAAAGCACACTGAGTGCTTTCAGGACCCTAGAGAAAGCGCATCAACTCGAGAACTGTGACGAGAACGGTGGATCCTCTTTGATAGGGCTGTGCCGCTTCGTTTTGGGAGGCTTCGCCGAGCTGCAGAAAGTCGGCTTGGAAGGGTGGTTGCTTGGCCCAAGATTTTCATGTGGGTTTTGAAATTCGCCGCCACTTTCTGGGATGTTTGAGTTATCAGATGGAATGATTTCCACCGTCCTTTGGAAATACTCCTGCTTGGACATCGAATGAAGCCTCTTTTCGAAACACTCAGTGGGTAGCAAGAGCACAGCATATTCATGCATATTCTATACGTAGAAACAACTGGCAACCAAGCAGCATGAATGCACTCATACCATAACCGTATTTTGCTAAGTCTATGTCATAACTCACCACTGTGACAGATGAGGTCGAAGAAGTTGTCCTTTTGGTCTCAAGGGGAGTAGGAAAGAATGAACACAAGGCTTGGGCCCAAGCATGGGACGGGGAGTTCATGGCAGTTCATATTTCTTTTTAGCTATGCTGCGTTTCCGGCCTTCCCACCTGATAGGCCTAAAAATGGCGCCATGTGGATCCTCGCTTTCTGAAGGACGGATACCCCCCAGCGAACTCTGAATGCTGGTTCCTTTTTTATACATGGCCATTTGCGTGACTTCAGTCTTGGTCGTTCTGTTCCTTATGGGTCTGATATCTGTTTCAAGCCACCTGAGTTCAACTTGTACTACGTACATGCTTTCCATTGGTTTAAACATTTTTACATGAACAATAACGTGTATATATATATATAACAGTATATAGTTATATAGTTCATTTTCCATTACTCTAACAATTACAGTACCTTTGGTAACTTTGGTATGTCATTTTACATGCTGGTGCTCAAACACGGTCGCTGCACCTTGCGCTGCCAAGGATGTCGGCGAAAGGGCAGGCCGCCATGTTTCTTCGGGGGATGCGGTCGTTGGCTTTATCAAGGAATGACCCAAGATGCTCCACTAACCTTGAGAGAGAGCCAGTAATGTCAGAAAGGATCTTTCTAAAACTCTGCATCTATGTTTGCAATGGCAAGCAGGACATAGCAGCTGCAAGAGTCTGTAGTACGGATGCTTGGGTGTGCTCAGCAGCACAGTGAACAGGAACTTAACGAGTCAACACATGTGTAAACGACATGCCAGTGGTGTGCTGACCCCCAGCCTTGGAAGTTCATAACAATGACCACCACAACCAGCTTCAACCCGCACGGAAGCACACGGCAAACACGCCATGTATCGAATCTATGCCTACATTGACCCCTTTTTCATCAAAAGATCCACTTCAACCGCCTGAGCACCGTGCGTTCAAGTCAAACTGTCCTGACCGAGCGGCCGCCCGTCCTCCCCAGGCCGCCGCGCTCGGGCGTGCCGGGTCTCCACATCCACCGGCGGGTGCGGTGCCAGTGGGGTGGGCAGACAAGGATGCCATATGATGCCATGCAGGGTCCCCGGAACACGAAAAACGGATGTAATGAGGCGTAGGAGGCCTCAAAAGTTGATGTCATGTACTGGCTACTCTAAAGCATTCTAAAGCCAAACATGTGGCAGAGCGGGTTTTTGACACGGGGTGCACTCCCTGGAGCTCGGGTACGTGGATGACATGGCCCCCTTGGATGACCATTTGATTTTCGGATTCATCGTCACTCAAAGCAACTTGGTGTTTTCAATGTAGCTGCTGACATAGGGACAGCACAAGCCTAATTTGTTTATCGGACTTAAGACTCTCTTCGACCAACATGTACATTAGCAACAACCCCTGGTAAAGAACTCTCCAACAGAAGGACAAACAACGGAAATCTATTGAACATCAATGAACATCCTAAATCTCATCGAAAGAGAACACTGGGTGGTCTTCCTATGTTTTCCTCACTCAGAAGTAGGTCACCGTCCTCTACTTGGATTCGCCTGTAATAATTCTACTATAACTATATCTATATAACATATTGTATAAACATTGCCATGGATTGCCGCCCTCTCCAAGACTCACTTCACCCCGTCAGCGCCTTGCATCGGACCCCCGCCGTGGACCCGCAGCATCCGACTCGGTTGGTCGGTCCCTCGGTGAGGTCCGAAAGACCTTTTACCGCGCCAGCGCCCGGGTGCCGAGACGAAGAGACGATACCGCGATCGTGCAGCAAAGAGGGTGCGGGCCAGGATGCAAGCGGGAGAAGGGAGAAGGATCCCGGTTTTGGTGCAGGTGGAGGATCTTGGGTTTCATTGGGTCACAGGTTGGGGGCAGTAGGTTGGGCCCTTAGTTTTGAATGGGTTGTGCCTTTTTCTTGTAATGGGGTCCTCAGTGAAGTTCGCCGGCACATTCAGAGCTTCACGAGTCATCAACTCGACTTGGTTTATCGGGTGAATTGGTGCATCCTTCAGACATCTGAGTTTGGACAATGCTTTGGACGAGTATGTTGTCATATCCTGGCTAGCGGCCAGTCCATAGATCCTGGCCATTTAGGGGCTGGGGGACTTTCAACCAATTTCAACAGTGATAACAGCGATTCATGAATGGATGATCCAAAGTTTGTTCGAGGGTTCCCTCCCAGCTTTCATCTTCCCTAGAATAAATAGCACGGATAATGTTGCAATGTTGCATATTTAACGATTCCATTTCATTGCGTCATTTCTTCGCCATCAATGAACTGCTGTTCCCCTTGTCAACATATCCCTGTGGCCTGGGACGCATTTTCCGTAATTATATAGTCTTTTTTGAATCAAGAATCAGTTTTGTCAAAGTCATATATAATTACTAAATGTACAATGAGCAAGCAACACCTATAGCTAAGCCATGCTGTAGGATCAGATATGATCAGATTGATCCAATTGTGAAGACGTTGCAGACAGCTGACCCACTCGCTGGTTCGCTGAGGTTGTGGCCGGTCCCTTCCGGTTGAGTAGTGGACTCACTACAAAGCTGGAGAAAGCACAAGACTTCCTCCAGGCACAGGGTAGCGTCTTGCATCTTGGTCCTGGCTAATCCCACAATTCCTTTGGTTTACTCAATTACTGGGGAAAAAAGGGATGTGACCAATTAAGATATCACAAACATTCACAGACTTGCTTGTCTTCGCATTCACCCACGCTGTGAATTCGTTCTTCACCGCAGGTGCTTCATCGCATCAAAGCCCGCGTGACCCGAACGACCAAGGCGGGAGAGGTCTCTCCCGCGTGAAAGGAACGCCGGTCACCCATTTGGCTGCCCTGTCAGTCCAAATGAAGGAAGGCTGTGGGAACAACAAGGTGCCTAGGAATCACACCCAGATGGATCAAGCATGAGGCATAAATTATAAACTGATATCAACTAGATACATCTAGTAATAGTCTAGATACGCTAGATGAGAGGCATTTGCTTGAAACATCTATACCTGATCTGCCCTGAGGATGTAGTTTCCTACTGGGTTTTGGATTGTTTCGGTGTTTGGCTTGGCTTCTTCCCGCAAGGCGGGCTTCCCCTCCTCCGATGAGTTGGATGCTTTGGAGGCGAGGGGGAAGCAGTGGGTGTGTTGGGAGGGCCGAACAGATGGACCAGAGAGACGTATTTTTTTTGTTTGACATGCGATGCTCATCCCCTTGTTTGCTTGTCTTCTTTTAGCCAATCCTCGTTTTCTTTGGAACTGGATCAATCTTGTTACGAGGCGGTTCGGTCGCTTTTTCAGGTCCCACCAGACCCACACACGTTTTTTTTTTCGGTCGCAATTCAGCTCGCTGCTTCATCCATTTGCAGCTCTAGGCCTCCTTCAAGAGTGCCGTAGAAGAAGAGATGGCCTCCATGGGAGCTTTGAGGTGCCCATCGCAGCGGGTCCGTAGCGTTCCTTAAGAAAGGCCAGCTGGTTGGGGTAAGTGAAATGATTGCAACTGAATGTGAGAACGATTCAACATGATTCAAACCATGGCTTTCATGTTTTTCAAAGATCAACACGGGTTGGGTGGTTGTTGGAGGATAGTCGGTATCATGTGTGAGCTGCGGAATTGATCTAAACCGGTTCTGGGCTGTGGCCACAGTACTTGGAAAGACTGAAAGACTGGGAATGACTCCTATTATGCTTGTGAATATTGCGGCGTTTGGGGTAAGAATGGTTTGTCGTTCAATTCGACCTCTTTGCCAACAGCATGGCCGCAGGAGTGAAATGCAGCCCGTACCTGAGTATTTGGATGTGCGCAGTGTCCACATTGATTCTCAGGATGACATGCTCATAGTCTCACAGTGGATCACAGATGACTTCCATCTTTGAGTTGAAGGTGTTGAATGTTTGTTCTTTTTTGCACCCTCAAAACACCACATGAGAAGTTGCCAACCTTCATTTCTCGTGGACCTGGATCTTCTGGAAGTCTGGAAAACAAGAGCTCGTGGAGCGCGGCAAGGCTGAACTTCTACGCGAAGGTGCCAGTCGGTCCACCCAGTGCAACAGTCAGACTCGCTGTCCGCTGTGACCGTTTTCACGGACCCTTAGGTGGAGATGAAATTGGATCGACCCGCAGAAAGGAACATGAAGATGCAAGTGATCGTGATCAAAAGAACCACTTTTCTGAACGTAGAATGAATAAAATTGCAGGCGATGTGTATAATAGACTTGACTTACAGTGTTTTTTCTTGTTAATTCCCGTTTAAGAAAATTATATATCAGGTTTGAAGGTCCAAGAACATCTTGTTCCTTTGCATCCAGAGACATTGAGGGAAAACAGAGATTCTTCAAAAAGCCTCCCCAGTAGGGAGAGATGATTTGGAAACCAGACAAGGCCAGCTATTGGATCGGCCAGGCGCGGAATGGGGGAGGCAACAGAAATATGCAAACGGATGGTTGATTCCTTGACAAAGCCGTGGCGCCGTGGAGAGTGAAATTCCTCAAGAGCTCGAGGCATCGAAAAGGAGATTGTTCAAGTTTCTTTTGGACAACTGCCATCAGAGTCGTTCTAGTATCCTCTCATTCAGAGCCACTGGCGTGCTGATTTATTTAAGAAAGAAAATTAAATATCAGGAATTATTAGCAGATCATGTCGCAATCTCCCCCCCTAACCCCTAAATATCTCTGGACCATCTCTGGACCCATATTGCTTGAAAAATACATGGCTGCTCCTGCAGGCACTGAGCACTCCACATTTTCGGGCCTTAGGTGGCTTAGAAGAAGGGCCACTGGGCAGCATTGAAATCCCTTCAAGGGAAAGTACTCTGAGATGTTTTGAGGCAACGTTTCAAAGCAAAATTAACGGCCAGCTGTTGAATGTGCAAAGGTCAACAATGAAGGCTTGTTGTGCATGTCCTTCCAGTTTATGGACGTGTTTTGGGGGCACGTCTTTTTGTGAGCCTGACTTCATTGAGTTTAATGGTCCTTTTGGAACCCGAGATATTTCGCCCTTGTCTTTAGGGTCACTTTGTTGAGTTTGGTCTCTAACTTTCTGCTCTCTAAAGGAGCCAATCGATCGAACATGCCAAGCCTTCAGTTCATGTCCAGGTGTATTTCCAGGAGAAAACATCCACTTTTGAGCCACAGAAGTCCGTGAATTGCAGAAGAATCCCCGGGTCCAGAACACATCCTTCGTTCGAACCCCATCTGGGTATACTTCCGACAATGGGAGGTGGCTTTCCTTCGTTTCGGCATGCGGTTTTAATTTTAAGAATTGACCGGAGCGACGTGGGTGGAGTCTGGGAGCGAAAGTGGGACTTTTGATTTGATGTCCTTTTTGGAGTTTGACGAATGCATCAAGGATATCCTCAATCTTACGGAAGCCTACAGAAGTTCATGACCTTACAAAAACCAGTCACAAAAACATCCAGGTTTGGTGGTGGATCCCTCCTTTGCCCAAGAGTCTTTGCATCCTTTTCTGTAGCTCCAGGCCATGTCAACGCAGTCAAGACGCGACCGGACATCCACACATCATCATGGTCATGGACATTATTGAATTTCAATGGATCTGACCCATCAACTGCTTGTAGGCTCGCATGATAGAACATGTGGTAGACACAGGTTTGCGTGACCTACAATGTACATTAGGTGCAGACAATGTAAAAAAGTTTGCACTAGATCCCGACCGGTTCCAGGTGATTTGAGAGATTTGTGACCCGAGACCTTTTGTACCCTCTCAGATCGGGAGTTCTGGTCACTGGTCCAGAGTTTCGGACTACTTGACCTAGCAGTGTCACGGACACTCTTCAACGACCTGTAAGCGGTATTATGTTACAGTACATGATTTCTGCTCGCAAAAGGGGCGCTGTTTGAGAACCGTTCCAAACAGCGTAATGGATGGACCTCTCAAGATCGTGTGTTCAACCGGACGACAAGTCCTTTTATGTGCTCCCCGCCTTCGACTCGATAACATAAAGGAGCTGCTTTTGCGATGTGCAAGACCTCAGACCCCTTTGATCACTCCAATGGTCGCGGTTTTTGCCCTAGGCTTTCGGCTTGGCGGTCCCTAACCCAAGCACGCGCTGCTGTGTTCCAGGGCCGCACGTGCGCCTAAGCAGATGGCGATCGGGTCCGGGTCAGGCCATCCAGGTTCATTGCACCAATCTTCACAAATGCATATACACATATATATAATTATATATATATATATGGGAGCCGATATAGATACCTTTATTTTGATCAACACCCATATAGATCCCAAGAGTAAATCCCCACTAACAATGTACAGTATCGGAAACCGTTTCTATCTACTTGGGGGACTACTATAGTGAATGTGAGGGAATGCTGTTTTGTTTCCTGTTTTGTGGAATGAAGGGCGGAACCTTGCCGAGGCCAAAAACACTGCTTCCTTGAGGAAAAAACAGAAGGGTTTAGCACATTACGGCGGGTTTTCGGACTCTCCTGCTCAATGGTTTGGCAAATATGTCCTGCACTTGCAAGAACTTGAATTGTTTGATGGTCCCAAAGCTTCATTTTGGGAGCCTCTTTGGTCAACCCGTGTCAACCCCCAGTTTAAACGCAATAAGCCAAATGTTGCATTCCAAAACAGGAAGGCCAACAAAGCATTGGTGATTCTCAACGACCCCAACGTCGTCGCCAGTGTTTTGAGTGGCGACATTCCAAAACAAATCCAGCTTTCCCGGTGCCTCTTCCTCTGAGAAACACGCAAAAAACTAATTCTTTTTGAGCTGAAGGAGTGAACACAAGAAGGTTCTGAACGGGAGGTGATGACCGTCCTCCCTCTTTTTACTTACTTATTTGTCTTTCGCAGGGATCAACTCAGTCCGTTTTGCATACCGGCAAATACATATATATATAATTCCGAGTGATCTTGTCACAAAGACTTAGACAATAACTTCTAAGTATTCTTAAGTAATCATTCACGCATGGAACATGGCCTCTTATTGTAGAGGCAAATGCTCTTGAGAAGGTTTAGTTTGTTCACCATTAATTATATAAGAACCACCACAGATAGGCAGCCAGAGAACTGCTCCAACTCATCCACGGTGCTAGGAATCGCTACACCATCCTTCGGCAGCATCAACCCAGTGACATGGAGGTGGAACTGGCTACTTCGTCCGGTGAAGTGTTGGATGTTTGATGAATTTTGTTGGGCTCTGATCTCCAGAAGAGACAGACTGGTTTAGTTTTAGTTTCTTCCTTCTTTCAATCAATTCGTCACCCATCTTTCGGACAGAACAAGCCCAACAGAGTTGTGTATCATCGATGCTTCTCCACAGCAAGTCGACGCTTTGGTATTGGAGGGGGGAGCCCTTCTGCCCAGGCAGCTTGGAGACAACTGCGGCAGAGACATTTGGATGCACGGTTCTCAGGATGCTCCAAGGATTGGACGTGGATCAACACCTGTGGGGTTTTATGGTAAGGTGCCACCTGGTAAAGTGGTTCGAAGAAGCCTCTCAGTACCCCAAAGAGACTGTCAAACCCAGAAAAGGGATTCTTTGTGTGAATGGAACGTCACAAGATGCTCCCAGCCAGATTTGTCGAGGTGTGGTTTTCTCAGTTATCATGTTTTGTGTTTGATCCTGATTCATGTCATTATTGCCTTTTTAGAAGTGTGCAAATGATCGGAAGTGACATGGTGAAGTTGCAAGTTCATTTCATTCAGCACATACCAGTACACTAATTATGTCCTCACAAAATACGGTTTTGTCTTTTTAAGGCATGTAAGGTAGTTGTCAAACCATATTCACAACTGCTTCCTTCTTGAGATCAACAGCAATTTTGTTCTGTGGTGCGTAAGGTTTCACATCAATGTGAGTGTGAACATCTTGCATCCCCACTTCTGCAGTTGACAATTGGGGTGCCGGCCTCTTCTGTGTTATAGCGTCCAAGTCAGAGATTTTGATCCAGATCCGTATTGCTTTAATTGTCCTTTGAGCTTGCTCGCTGTTTTTCGCGTAGGTGTGGTCTGCCGCTGGACGTTGCCGCAAGCAGGAGATTTGGGCACCGAAGTGATGGATGAAGTTGATGAAGTTTCTTGGTTCTTTCCACTGGAAGGTTTTGACAACCGATTGAGGGAAAGAGACAAGCCAAACCAGGATTAAAAGAGGCTGGCTGAACGCAAACTGGTGGAGGACGATCCTCGTCTCTAGGTTTGCTCATCAGCTTTGTATAGCTTTGTACGACCTTCCTCCAGAGAAGATGTCCAATGTTTGTTGAAGCAAGTGAAGCGGAATTTGATTGGCACTAGTGCGGTTTGCTGCTAGGCAGCTGCACGTTTGGCTGCCTTGGAGGTTGGCTGGGTGCTGCAAAACGTCTGGATTTGACCCACAAAAAGAAGATGCCACCGATTGTGGGCCAGAGTCTTGATAAGACTGGACTGACCGGCAAGACGATGACCGCTCTTGGTGATAATGTGTACACTGCTGCTGAGCAGTGCCCTGACTGTGCTCATGAGTCTCATTGGCCTCCGGGTTATCACCACAGTACTGTAGTGACCCAGGACAGCAACACAGCCGTCCTCAACGAAGACATGAACACAGGAGCTCAGTTGAAAGTGTTCAATGACATGTCTCTAGCTATGTCCCCCACCCAGCTCAGCTGAAACAATAGTGAATGAATAAGGCACATCTTGGGAGCCGAAAGTTTCCGCAATAAGTAGAAACATAGGTTGATTACTGCCACATGTATTTACTTATTGCACGGAGTTGATTAGACACATCGAACACCGACGTTCAACAAGATATACCGTATTCATTGGATACATTGGAAGCCTGGACAGTGTTGGTTTCGTCAATGTCAGTGGTATTTAGTCTCCTCATGAGCTGCTTGCAAAGACTTTTATAAAAGGTGAATTGTGAGTTTGCCTGGCAAAGAAAACCGGTGCCCCCTTTGTAGCTTTCATTATCCAGTGGAATTCAGGGTCGGAGGGCTATACTACGACCCAAGTTAAATAGAACCAACCAGAGTACGGAGGGTCCCAGTACCGGCGATCCTCATAGAGAATTACGAGAATTGGAGGATGCAGGTCAGTCAACCAGGACTCATAAAGAGCAGTTCATCTCTTGAATGGGGAAGTTTTGAGTGAAGATGGGTCAAACATCCTGGATGGTTGTCAGAATGTGTGGAGCATTTGCTGAACGGGGGATCTGTGATCTATGTAATCAATCTGACCGGTGTTCATCGTTGAAGAGCCGACTCAGAAGTTCCCATTCGCCTTCTTCACCACCAGAAGCCAAAGCAAACAGAAATGTGCATGCCCAAGTACGAATCCACATGTTCACCACCGTTGTTTTTCTGAAAGAACTGTATATCTTGTGAGTCGAACCTGGAACAACACCTTGTGGCCGTCGTAGTTGTCTCTCAGTCAGGCTCGAAGACCCACGTCGACCATCGTCGACCCACGTCAGTCTTACCGTGAAATGAGACGCGGAGCGGTGAATGTCCTGAAACGCCGATCGCCATCATTTCAGGAAAAGAGCACAGATGAATCAATATGGAAACTGGGGAAGCTGAAGGAAAGTGAGGTCGAAAGTGTTCTGTTGCCAGAGCTAAAACGTTCAGAAGAGAAGCTTCCGAAAGCATTGAAGTTCTTCAGTGAGCAGAAACGTGGCGATTTGGCTGCTGCTACTTTGCGGGCAGTCCTTAAAGATGACAGCATCAAGCTGAAGACATCTCATTACACACGGGGAATTACAGCATGTGCCAGGTCCAACATGCCACAACAAGCATTGAAGTTGTTCCATGCCATGCACAAGGCAAAGCTTCAGCCTAATGTCATCAGCTACAACTCCACCATCAGCGCATGTGAGAAGGGCGGGGAATGGCAGCAAGCATTGAAGTTGTTCGATGCCATGCACAAGGCAAAGGTTCAGCCAGATGTCATCAGCTACAGTGCCGCTATCAGCGCATGTGAGAAGGGCGGG